GAGAGAGAGAGAGAGAGAGCCATAAATCTCACTAAGGATTTTTAATCTTTAAAGAAGTTAATAATCTTTTTTAGATGGGTGTGTACACCGAGAATTCTAAATCAAATTAAACTACGTACTAGTATTTAACTAATAAACCATAAAACACTTATGATATAACTACAATTTATAAATAAAACGTAACATAAAAATGATAACATAAGAAATTTTAGTAAGCATGCATAAAATCAAAGGAAAAAGAGAGTTGAGAGGGTTTACAACCTTCAAATTTGTTTAATAAAAAAAATTACAATTAACAACTAGTTTTAATATTGGTTGATTGTTTTTACAAAAATTTTAAGCTTCATTTAAGAGTTATTTATTAGAAAAAATTAGATTAAAAAAGAAGAGTCATGAATTAGACCAATACAGTGGTCTCAATTTAGTTTTGGATAACAAAAGAATATTAAAGAGTCATGAATTAGACCAAATACAGTGGTCTCTATTTAATTAGTTTTGGATAACAAAAGAATATTAAAGGATTTGAACTCATGAACTCCTTCTCAATGCGAACACCTTTGGTCATTTGGCTGCCTCTTAGACCTGTATTAAGTGTCTTCAAAATATATATAATATATAATCATATAAAGTGTTTGGTTGACCACCCTTGATACAAGATAGCTACGACTTATATATATGTAGGGTAATAGGATAAAGGAATTTTTATTTAGCAATTAAACATTTGGAGTGAGTTTTACGACTCTTGAGAATCTGAAGAATGAAAGTGAATTCATTAATTAGTTATAAGTTTCTAATTAAACAGGTGGTCTCAGATTGCACAACACTTGCCTGGAAGGACAGATAATGAAATAAAGAACCACTGGCACTCTTATCTAAAGAAGAGAGTAGCCAAAATGGCACAACAGACTACATCTGGAAACCGAGAATCGTCATCTTCTTCCAAGAAATTGATCACCCAAAATTCTAGTTTGGACTCAATTGAACACATAGAAGGATCATTTGGCTGATTCAGATCAATCTGCTTCACAGTTGGACTTTCCAAGAGAGCCTCAAAAGAGTAATTTACCCAAAGTATTATTCGCGGAATGGCTTTCGTTAGATCAGTTTAATGGTCAAGATTTCCAGAACTCAAGCAACTTTGATCCTTCCAAGAATAGCTTTGGCTGTAATAATTCAGAGTTGCAAGACATATTCATGTACAGTATACCGATGAATGGCGGTAGCTATGTGAATGGCATAAATCAAGAGGTTAACAATGGGACAGTAGATGATATTTTTCAACCCCAACTCAAGTTTGAGGAATCCATCTCTGCAAATGGATTTGAGGAATTTATGTCAGGGGAATTCAGCATAAATGATGATGTGATGTACATATGAGTTCTCTTTTACAATCTTACAAAATAGTGTTTGGAGGAAATAAAGCAGGAACCACCAGTGTTAGGTCCTGTTTCTTCTTTAAGTAAGAGGGAAGCTTTCAGCAAAAGGTCTAGTTAGTGCTCATTTTTACCATAGATGTTTTCTCCTTTCTTGTATTCCATGTTGTACAAAGTCAAATTCATTATATCTGAAATAAAAGGCTCTGAGAGTTTTAACTTGGTAGTCTTTCCATATTTAGCACTTAGCAGAAAGAAATGGATAGCACAATGGCATCAAACGAGTTGGATCAATTTGAAAGAGCATCATGGCCTTGTCTGAAATCGCGAACTAAAAAGGACAGTCCAATGCAAAAAGCATCCCGCGGGAAAGAGCCGCACCCCAAGGGTGTCATGTAGACAGCCTACCCTACTGCAAGGTGACTACTTCCACGAACTATAACCAAGAAATTTCACATAATAGTTTATAGTACTGATTTTGCAAATGATGATGTTCTTAAGAAGTGCTGCAAGGCTTGACAGTAACCATTTGACTCGCAAGTGCCAAGTAATCTAATAAGTAAACAGCTTGACATTAAGAATAAATACAATAAGTTGATCCATCTACAATACACATAATCAGATGAATAGAGCATCAAAGCACAATAACAATATGCATATTAGCTACTTGTTTCCACTTTCTTAAGACTTTCTCAAGTATATATCAAATATATGCAGGCTTGAAATTTAGAAAATGAATCTTGCTAATTGGCCCCTGTAAGTCTCGGTCAGTGGAAAATCTTCTTATTTCTTCATTTGCACCATTGATCCAGACATTGGAGGAAGTCTTTCAACTGACTATGGCTTCAGAGTTTATGAAGTTTGGCTCACCATTATCTGAAATCATCTTGGAGGATTAAGCCGGTCCATAGAAGAACAGCAGCAACAACGAGAAGGATTGTAATTGGTGTCCATTTCAGTGCGATTATCTGGATTTGAACCATTGAAATTAGACCCTCTTGTTTTATCGTCAAATACTAAAAGAAGATTTGGCACTGATCATACCTCAAGCCTTTTAGACTCCCAGATTGGAGAAGTACTTCTATGAGCAACCATCAGCCTCTCCATCCTTTCTGGTTGCATTAAGTATCCTAAGATATAATTCAACTTAAACAAAGCAGAATTGCAGTAACTATGCGACAAGCTTACCTAGTCTTCGCCTTCGTTCTGTTATTAGTGATAATTCATCTGTCCCAATATCTAAATCCTTTTGACGATCAGCATTTAGTTTAGATAAATTTGCCTGTGTTCTTGTATCCACATATTGCTTCCTAATGTTGGCAATGATAGTATCTGCGAGTCACAGCCAACCATGCAAAAAGGAACAGAAGTACACCTTATTGCCTAAACTTCAGTCTTAAAACAGAGGATTTCTCTGTACCTAAAATAACTAATGCAACAATAAATTAAACTATAATGAACATTTTGAAGATTACCAAGTTTGATGAAGGTATATGGCTTTGTAATTCTATCTGTGAGGCTCTTATCTAATCTCTCAAACTCCTGATGCAAATCTTCTAGATAATGGAATGCCAGCTTTCTTGGATAGGATGACTCGCATAACGTAAGAAAGCAAATCCCATTCTCAACTATGTAGCTGAAAGTAAAAAAGACTACGTGTAAAGAGTTAATTGTGGAATGTAAAGCTACAATATATAGTAGCTACAAGCTGTAACGGCAAGAGTCGACAATTAAAATGACGGACGAAAAGGAATAGAGAATTGATACAGTCTTTTTTCTTTTAAATATCAAATACTATAAAAATCATGTTAATAAATCAATTTAATGAACTAATGGGTAAAAGGGGTCGAAATATTCTAATAAGCCTATGTAAGTGATATTAGGGCTGTTTGGCCATAAAAGAAATTTCATTTTTTCCGAGAATTTTTTACTTTTTTCGGAATTAGTTTTTGGCCATGAAAATTTTAATTTCACTTGAAGTTGAATTTCATAATTTTTTGAAAATTTAAAAAACTCCAAATAGTTATTTTTCAAAAAATTTACTTCAAATAACTCAAAAAAATTCAAAAATAACTCCAAATTGTATTCATGGTTAAACAGAAATCTAATTTCCAAATAATACCACTTTTACTTGAAAAATTATACTTTTCCGAAATTTTACAATTCTTATGTCCAAGGGCCACTAAAATCATCAAAGTAATGGAAATCCGCAATCTTGATAGACCATAAAAGAAGTAACATTCAGCTTGTTAGACCTGACAAAAAATGTGTTGGGATTAACCAGCTCAAAATACTCTTAGTATGATGTAATCTTTCAGATTAGTATGATTTTTCCCAAAAGGCCTTTTCCATTTTTAAGTTATCAATATAGAACTTTGTTCGGACCGGTAACAAAATACCTACAAAATCAAATGTAAAAGTAGATGAAAAGAAAAGGATACTTGAAGCAGTGGTGATCTACAAGAATGGTCATCTTGGAAGAGGGCAAGGCTCGTAAAGAAATTTCCTTGAGAAGGAACTCAGCTTGTTGCTTGTAAGTTGTTAAGACATCATTCTCTTCTTGCACAAATCTTGGATTTTGGGCAAGGGGCATCCCATCACTCACCCTCCCAATAATTGTCAGCTTCACCATCCCTTATCAAATAAGAATAAACAGTAGCTGAAATTTCTGATCTCCTTTTTATCTTTTCCTGTTAGCCTTTTAAGGATGAAGGGGATACTAACTATGGCTTTTATAGCAAATAAATGGATGCAAAATAAAGGAAATAAACCAAATAATGAAGGAGAGAGAACTTGGGTATGAAGTTATTCTTTGTTTCATCAAAAGTTCTCTAGACGCGGTTCAGGAAAAAGCCTAAAGAAGTCCCTAGCTAGGGTGGCCAAAAAGTTAAAAAGGATACAAAAGGATGAAAACGAAATGGAACAGTTATTTTAAGTTGAAAGTAGTCAACTTTTCTTTCTTTTTTTCTTTTTCACATTGGAAGACTTAAGGAAGGAAAATTGACTACACTTTCACATAGTAATTAATTACCTTTTTTTCCGCTATGATTAAATACCAGTTGACAAAGGTAAAAGCCTGACAGCTCATTAGTTAAATGCTTTTTCTTTGTATTAATTACGTTATTAATGGACCCTTTCACGTTTATAAAGCATTTATTCATTTATTACGTAGTCATTTACCCGCTCCTCCTGGGTTTAATTTACCCAGGATGTTTCTGCAACAACAAGGACTCATGGGATTATGTTCTATATGATTAATTTATTTAGTATTTTTGAGATGATACATTTCTGATTCATTGGTAAATTTTACTAATTCGAGTAAGTTATGGAGTAACTGAAAACACACATTTTTTGGAATTTGGGGCCAGAAGTAACAACTAACAGCGATTAAAAAAAAAGATGAACAGAAAAATTCAGTTTTCCTCGTTATTCCGGATATTTCTAACTTCTAAGCCTTTATAATACATAAACACAATCATAGAACAAATACAATAGATGATCTAGGAAATTTTACGATATTTTTTATGTGTTTGAATGAAGGTTCCAAACAAAACTGTTAAGGTGTTCAAAGGCATGCACTTTACTCTTATCCAAAAAAGTTTGCAACAGCTTTTTGGGAAAAGAATACCAAACGAGCCTCTTAGCTCGTTTCGGCAATAGTTTCTTTTGATGAAGTTTCTATGGCCAAACACCTAAGAACTTCGTATAACATTTTCAAAAAATGCATGTGTCATATGCCTTAATAGTTAATACTCTAAAAGAGAAAAAGAGAGAGGATAAATGCGCTAAATAATCGTGTATTTAGCAATCGCTTATTCAGCTCCGTATACAAATTTTTATTTGTAGAACAAATCCAAACGAGGCACTATCCTTCTTTCTCTTTTTTTTTTTTCTTCCTTCAACTTACACAAGATAGTGTTAATACTAAAATGTGAAAAGAAAAAACCTCACCCTCGTTAGAAAGAAGTTAAAGAAATAGTTTGAAGGAATTTGAGAGATGACTCATTTCTAGTCTCGATCTCTTCACCTTTTTAATGTTTACATGAAAGAAAGTACATTTGACTTGATAATACTGTAATTGTAATGCTTGGCCCCCAAGAATCATGTCAGTCCCACCATGAGCAAAAAGGTCCTTATTTTCTCCAGAAGTAGATGCATTGCGACGCGTTTCATACAAACTTGGACCCACAAACTTCTTTGATTTGGATTAATTTATACACTTTGATAATGTAACGAATTGTTTAACTTAACATACCTTAATACTCATGTAAATAATCATTCTTATTCTGGTTGTTACTTAAAATTAGATTATACAAATTACTGGTCCTGCTCTATTTTTTTTGTGATATTTGACTATGCATAAAATTCAAAAAAGAAATGAATAGATTTTGCCAGAATCAAAAGTATCCGTAAAATTTGTAGTTTTACATATGCCCACATGCTATGGCATTGTTATGGGAGTGCATGTATGATTATGTACGGATAAACGGCCAAAAATGCATATTTTTTTGTGTACTTTCATATCATAACTTGTGTGGTTACGGTAGGTTACATGAGTTTTTGTAGTGAATTATGCTCATTATGTGCATTCTTATGTGTAGAAGCAAGTTGGACAAAAAGTAAGCAAAAGAAGTTGATTCGGGACCAAAAGACAAAAGAAGGACTTTGCTTGTTCACTCTTGCGTGCACATGAAAGAGTGAACGAGCTAGCTGAGAAAAAGCTTGAGAAAAAACAACGAATTATGGCAAAAAGGCATGGAAGTGAACGAGACATCTAGAAGGAAAAGAAGAAGAGAAGCACTTCACTCGTTCACTCTAGCGTGCGCACGAGAGAGTGAACGAGCTAACCTAAAAAGGCTGTTCCAAAGTGGGCTTGTATTATTTTCGGTCCATGCTAATCCTATCCCATATAAATAGTCTCTAAACTCACTTTTTGAGAGGATCAGACGGGAGGAGGCAAGAACACAAAGAAAAGAGCAAGGTGGAGAATTCTTCTATGAGTTTTTTACTTTCTTCTTCATATTTCCATTGTTGGTTATGACTTTTTATATTATAATCTTACATAATATTATGAGTAGCTAAACCCGTCATCTAGGGTTTGATGGAACCTATTGGAAGATAATTTTCTACTACGTCTAATATCGATTTGCCTTTGATTTTTCTCTACTTGTTCAACTATATTTTCATTGTTGTTGATTGAAGAGCTCGCAATTAACTGTACCTATTTAGTGTGTATATTGCTCGAGAGAGAGTACATATTTAGGTAGTTGTTGAGCAACACCACTCCTAATGTATTTGAGAAATCAATACGGAGGGTTTAAAGGCGGGATTAGAGATAACGAACCTTGGTGCGATCGTAGTGAGCGGTGAATTAGTGCCAGCTAGCGTAGTTCGAGAGAATACGTCTAGTAAATAAATGGTAATTACTCGAAAGAGAGCTACGACACCCAAAGTACTCACGATCGGTAGAGAATACTTGGGCGAATTTATAGGAAACGTGGTGGGGGAGATTCCGACAATAGGAAAAATCATAACCCAAGACTTTTCCCAATCTTGTCTACAATATTTGCTCTGTTAGTTATAAATTACTGCATCTTAATTACTTTGCTCTTAGTTATTAAATATTCAAATCGTTATTTAATATTTTTGAAGGTTGAATACTTGAATTCGTGCGAAACTAGTAGTTGTAATTAGTAGGTTAATTCTATGTGGGATTCAACTCCGAACTTGTAAACTGTATTATATTTGTAACGACCGCTAGATCTCTTAGGAGGCATAGTTGGGCGTGATCAAATTTGGCGCCGTTACTGGGAAATTAATGTTGTTATTAGTTACAGCTAGATGAATTGCGAAAATTCTTAGTTTAGTCAGGTTTCTCGACTTGAAATTCATTATATTGAAACTCTAACGTTTGTAGTCTTATGTGTTGCAGGTGCATGCCTAGAAACTCCTTAAGAATTGGTGAATTGTACGAAGCATTATCGGACCCTGAGAAAGCTTTCAAGGCACTAAATCGAGCAAATGTTGATGCTTTAGCATATGGAGCATTTTTGAGTAAATCATTCAGGGAATGCAAGGTTTTACTTGATAAAATGACTCAAAACTCATGATGGATGACAAGAGACTCTGCAATCACTCCTGTAGTTCACTCAGTAGCTTTAGACCGAAACAACTCCATGGCTGAGAATATGGCTACGATGATGGTGCAATTGAGTATCCTAACCAAAACGATTGATGAGTCAGGCCAGAAGCAGGTGCACATAGTTGACACGACAAATGGAGGATTATTCACACCATGCATTAATCAGCCATATGTGTGCACGTGGAATGGTGAGAGTGAAAATTAGAACTATCAAGAGAATATGAACTATATGGGCAATTATGGAGGCCAGAGACAAGGCAGTCAGACTTGGGGACAACAAAATCAACAATATAGGCTAGCACATCAGCAGTACAACAATAATAATAATCTTGGAGTTGCACGACCACAGGGTCATGCTGTGCCTTATCAAAGGCAATAAGGGTACAATCAGCAGAATCTGCAACTAGCTTATCAACAACCTCAACAACAACAATAATAGATAGTGCGACAAGATGATGGGTTGTTTGAAATAAAAGGAATGTTGCAACAACTCATTGGGTCCAGCGGGAAAATGAAAGAAAAGGTCAACCAGATACAAGAAAAGTAGTATCACATGCCTAAGCTATCAAGGGCATTGAAATTCAACTGGGGCAAATATCCATGGCCCTTAACAATCGTCCTCAAGGGGCATTACCTGCGGACACACATGTTAACTCGAAAGAGCAGGTCCTGAAGCAGTTCATGGCTGTGAGTCTGAGAAATAGTAGAGATCTTGATCTAGATCAAGAAATTTCTCGCGAGAGCCGACCAACTGAGATACTTGTGCCAGTACCAATTGAGGTAGATGAGTCAACTAAGCTAACAAAAGTAAGAATCATGTCACCCAGGAGGAAATAAACAAGGAAACAAAGTTTGAAAATGAGGCTGAGGGAGTGCAAGAGAAGGCAGTAGAAAAAGTGCCTGAATAGGATCAAACTCAAGTCACAGGAAAGAAGCGACCGCTAGCACCCTTCCCGTAGAGGTTGACCAAATATCAGAAGGATGAGCAGTATAAGAAATTCATGGAAATGCTGAAGTAGATTCAAATGAACATTCCACTGATTGATGCCCTAAGGGAGATGGCTGGTTATGCAAAAAGATGAAGGACTTGATGTCTCACAAGTTCGACTTTCAAGACTTGGCAATTGTTACACCAACTCAGACATGTAGTGTTATCGTGACGAAACCTATAGCTGAGAAGCTAGCCGAATCAGGGAGTTTCACAATCTCATGCACAACAGGCAACTATGCTTTTGTTAAAGCATTATGTGATTTGGGGGAAGCATAAATTTTATGCCCTTAGCTATCTATAAAAGGTTAGGAATTGGAAGAGCGAGAACCACATCCACGTTACTACAACTAGCTGACCGAACGGTGAAGAAGCCATCAGGTATACTTGATGATATACTTGTGCAGGTTGGAAAGTTTGTGTTTCCGACATATTTTGTCATTCTGGATTATCGGGTTGACGAGGAAATTCCCATAATTTTGGGAAGGCCATTCTTGGCCACTGGGAGAGCTCTAATTGATTGTGAAACTGGGGAGCTAAAGATGAGACTGAATAATGAAGAGATAATATTCAATGTGCAGAAGTCTATGTGGCGACCAAGTGAGTTTGCTAACTGCTCTCTGATAGAAGATGTGGATGTGATTTTGGAGGAGGAAGATAAGGCATTGAATGCAAAAGACCCACTAGCGGCCTGACTGATGAACCTAGAAGAGACAGATGGTGAGAACTT